AAAGTTTAGCTAAAGAGCATCATCTGCTCTTATAAAGAATCAATTTAAGAAAAGTAATTAATACATAGTAAACACATACTAAATATACTAATATACAATACTAATGCTACTAATGAATCGAAAAATATTTAATGCTTAATTTAAGCCTTAAGTTAGGTTGCTGTCCCTACCGATAACAAAAAACGCTTTATAATTAATCATAAATCAACTAGTTTTTAAACATCTCAATAAATCTTCTGAAGGCATGTTGTGACTTTAATTTAATATATAAATTACTTTAAATCATGATCTATTTGTAATCATGGATACCATGGTTAAAAATTTTACTTTTACATCACAATTCCTAAATAAATTGCATAAATACATTTTTATTTGTATATTTACATAGAATCATAGTCACAAGAATAGATAGTCTGGAAACACGGGCCGTATCAATTGATTTTGAACTTTTATGTCAAAATTGTACTTTCGGCCCGCTGAAAGTGCAAAACAAACATTAAAGTGAATCATGGAAAGTGGAGAGTTGCAAGTTCTTTTGAGTTTGATAGAAACAGATCAGTTTGAAAGCGATTCATTTTATCAAGAAATCGAAATAGCAGCTTTAGAAGAATGTAAAGAGACTTTAAATTGTAGTGATTGCTCGAAGGTATTCAAAACAACTAGTGGTCTGAAAAGGCATATAAACTCTAAGCACAAAGAACTTGTGCCTACTGACAACCTTGTCGAGGTTGTCGGTAGTGAATCAGTTGATTTAAATAAAAATATACAATTATGTATTCAAAGTACACAATTCAAAGATCTATTGAATAACGCAAGACATAAACTGTCAACAGATGATTGTTTTTGTAATGAAGATCGAGAATGTTTTAAAAACATGGTTGTCACTGAATCTGAGTATTTACAAGTTGAATCTTTTTTTTTAAAAGAAATGCATGAATTTAAAGGCAATGCCGAAAAATTTTATTGTTCACTCCACCATAAGTATACAACTGAGTCAGTTGCGATAAAAACAATACCAAAGGAACTATATTATTTATTGTTAGCAGAATTAACAACATTATGTCTAAATTTTTTGATTACAAAAGAATCTAAACTTATTGGTGAAGATTCGAATCTAGAAATAAATCTCTCTGAAAAAGACATAAGATGCTTAGAATATATTGCAGGTTATGTATTTCAAAAACTGTACTCTAAGTTGAGAAATAAAAAAATTAACGATGGTGCAATGTCTGGACAATGGCTTGATATTATACTTTCATCAAAAACTCAAGAGGAACAAAAACTTGTAGATAGTAGAGATAGAGGTGGATTGTGGAAAATGAATACACTAGTAATAAATATTTTTAGTGAATGTGAAAAAAAATTTAGAATACATACTAGCGTAAATTTTAGAAAAATTGACAGTAAAGTATTGGTTTCACAATTATTAAATAACTGTTTTGTCAAGTCCTGCTTTTATCAAATATGTGACCTTCCTGAAACAGAAATAGACAAAGAAGTTGCTAAAACTTTATTATATCATATAGTGATGCTTTTTATTCGTGTTCGTTCACATTCACACACAAAGCAAATAAAAGAAAAATTCAAAAACAAAAAAAAAATAACAAAAGCAGAATCTTTACGATCATCATTAAAAAAAATCAAATAAGATCAAGAAAAATATTTGCGATAGCTGAGATTTACAATCATATTTCCTCTCATCCGTATTTTATCAATCTATGCAGATGTATAGAAAAACCATATTTATAAGAGTATTATAGTTCCAGTTTATAATACTTATCAAACAGCTATTTTCATAGCTACAAATTAAAATAATTACATTATTGGTTAGAACAAATACTTTTATTAATTTATTATTTTAACCAACTTATTTATTTTAATCAAATGTTGTGTTTTTTCTCTTTACAAAATAATGTATGATATTCTTTAAAATTTTAAAAGTATAGGCTTTTATCAGCAATCAGAGTTAAATTATAATAGGTTTAGGTTAAATTTGATTTTTAAATAAACTAACAGTAATTTTGGGGAAGACAAATAATATCTACTGATAAACTAATTAAAAAAATGTTTTATGAAATAAGGTTTTCCAAAAAAAAAGATCATAATTCAATTAAGTTAATTTATTTTTTCTAAGTTTCTTGGGAACCGGTGTATCATCAATTACCCATTCATTAGTATGCTGCCTAACATTTCCACCAAGGGGTTGAATTGTAAATTGAGATTTTATGATATTATCATTGTATCCAGTGTCTTTAAGGTTAGGATTATCCCTACTGCAACCTATAGTTCTCTGCTTACCAAAGTAGTTCTCCAATGCGTCTTGACAAAATATTTCAGTTAATACGTATAAAAATCCTTTGCTTAGTAAGTATTGAACGCATTCAACTAAGGAGTTTACCGTTCTAGATAGACCTTCAAATGTCTGATTTGATATGAACATTTTATTAAGTTCTTTTTTAGAAAATTTTTCTGGCCTTTTTTCTATGCTTTCCCTCCAGTCTACAAAATATTTTAGAAAAGTGTTTTTTAACCAGTAAAACCTTTCATCTGAACAATCGGTATAAGGTTTCAAAAATACTTTACGATTTTTGAGGTACTCTTTAGTGTTTGTGACATTGCAGCAATCAAAAAATTGATCCATTAACAGACAGAAATTTGCTGTCTCAGAAGCTTCATCTGGCCCAAATTCAAGCAATGTATTGCCAACTGTAGCACTTAAAATTTGAACTGCTAATTTTACGTTCATAATAGAGTATGCATTTAATACTATATGGTCTCGAGTAAGTTTAGGAAAATAATTTAAATTACATTCCATATCTTCATAGTAAAACTTAGCAATATGACTCCAGAGAAGATATTTTCCATTATTCCACATATATCTTGAACAACGGTTAGATCCAGAGTTGCTCAAACAGTTTCTTGATGTTTTGATAAGATGAGGAGGATCAGAAAAAAACCATATATATCGTTCATCATCTGCATAAATATTTTTTGTGCGATATGTTATACCATTTGCTTTGTTGTCATTGTTCATATGCATTTTATAAAATGCATGATTTGGTGAAGCTCCATCGCAAGTCACAGCTATAACTTTTAATTTACATGTTCTTTCTAATATTGCAACAGCACGCCAAAATATTGGAAAAATCTGGAATGACATAATACTATCAGTAGCAAAACTTGCAAAAGCATAAGATAAGGGATTCATTGCACTTCTAATAAAAAAAACTAAAATATGTGAAGCTAAAGTATCAGTTTTTTCAAAAGTTGCCTGAGTAAGATCATCATCACCAAGATCAACAAAACCAATTAAATCACCTGTGTGCTTATCCCACACAAGGTCATTTTGAATTTTCATTTCATCAAAAGAAAGTATAATGTATTGTTCAAGTGCTGAAAAGTTTGAAACTAATTTAGCAAGCTCCTGAACATATTGACTATTAAAACCCCTTTGTGGTTTGATGTAGTTTCTATAGTCTCTTAAAGTGCGTTGAGAAGGCAAAACAAGTATACCTTTTCCACCTTTTTGTAAACGCAGAAGATCATATGCAGCTGGAGATTTTGCATACAAAGCTAAAGAGTATTTTATTACCATTGGATGGTATCGTGTTTGAGATGGATGTTCTGTTAAATATTTTAACTGTTCTGAAAGGAATAATTTCATGAAAGACGAAACTCCTCTATTTAAATTTACCTTTTCTGAGAAACTATTGATAATTTTTTGAAGATCTTGATGGATGTTTTCTCCAACTGATACTGCATTTTTTTCAATGGCTTGCCTGAGTTCCAAAATTTGCTTTTTTAAATATCTATTTTCAGATCTTTGATTTTGGAGAGTAAGAAGTAATCTTTCAGGCGCAGTATATTTAACAGGAGCTTTAATACTAGCTGGAGTTTTTAAGATTTTCTTTTTTGCATT